GTGTGTGTGTGTGTGCGTGTGTGCCTTATATTCATGTGAGAGTACAGGTCATGCACTTGTGCTCACAGATGTGGCGGCCAGAGCAGAGCATGGCTGTCTTCCTCCATCACAGTCCCCAGATAAACTTTTAAATGAACATCTCTTTAACAGGCCAACAGACAATCTGGAATGGTGTTTTGTTTTTTCTGACTTCATTTGTTGTTACCCTACACACATTTCTGTGCTAATCACCCTCTTGTTGCCTGCAGAGACTAGGGAGGGTGTCAGCTCCCCTGGGCTTGGAGTCTGTGTGGGGGCTGGGAATCAAACCAAGGTTCTCTGGAAGAGCAACCAGTGCTCTTAACTGATGAGCTGTCCTCCGGTCCAAATGGTAGCTTTTTGTTGGTTGGTTTTGAGACAGGGTCTCTCACAGTTGTGCAGGCTACCCTGAAACTGAAACTGACTCTTTAACCCAGGCTAGCCTCCAGCTTGCAGAGATCTTCAGACTCCCAACATGCTGAGATGACAGGTGTAAGTTGCAGGCTGGCCACGCCAAGCTGAGAATGCTGTGTGTGTGTGTGTGTGTGTGTGTGTGTGTGTGTATGTGTGTGTGTCTGTGTGTGTACACATTCAAGTGTCATATGTGCATGTGTGTGTTCGTGCATGTGTATGTATGTATGTATGACGTGTGTGATATATGCAGGCACATGAAGGCAGGTTGACACCTCACGTCTCCTATCACCTGCACCTTATTTTCTAAGACACAGTTTGCCTGGGCCGAACCACTTAGGGATCCTCCTGAAACTGCCTCCCCCACCCCTGTTCAGATGAGTCTACTTTTTTATGAGAGTGCTCAGTATCTCAGCTCAGGCTCTCTTGCTTTCAAAGCAAGCGCTATATTGACAGAGCCGATCATCTCCCCAGCCCTTAGAGAGGTCTAAGAATATGACTTAGGGACAGGAGAGGCTTTTCCCTGGTAGAGTACTTGCCAGCATGTGCATAGTCCTGGGTTTAAGTACCAATACTGCCAAAAAGGGCCAGTTTTTTTGTTTGTTTGTTTTTTTGTTTTTGCCACCCAAGTGCTGGGATTAAAGGCAAGTGCCACCACAACCCGGCCAAAAAAGGCCAGTTTTTAAAAGATTTAGAGAAGAGGAACAAACAGCCAGGTGTATGGCTCATGCCTACCCTTGGGAAATTGAGGCAGGAGGATTCAGGGAATTGCCTTAGTTCCTGTCCTATTGTCATGACCATGTAACCATGACCAATGAATTTAGTGAGGAAAGGGTTTAATCCCTCACTAATATATAACAGCTCATCACTGAAAGCAGTGAGGGCGGGATCCTGGAGTCAGGAGCTGATGCAGAGGCCATGGAGAATGTTGCTTACTGCCTTGCTCCCCATGGCTTTCAAAGCCTGTTTTCTTTCTCTTTTTTTTTGGGGGGGGGGCAGGGGTTGAGACTGGTTTTCTCTGTATAACAGCCCTAGCTGACCTGGAACTAGTTCCGTAGAACAGGCTGGCTTCCATCTCACAAAGATCCACCTGCCTCTGCCTCTGAGGGCTGGGACTAAAGACATGGACCACCTGCCCAGGGGTGACACCACCCACAATGGGCTGGACATTCCTCTAGCAATCACTAATTAAGGAAATACCTTATAGGCTTGCCTGCTTACAGCCAGTCTTCTGGAAGCATTTTCCCAGTTGAACTTCCCTCCTCTCAAATGGCTATAGTTTATGTCAAGCCAGCTTGAATTACATAGTTAGTCCTGAACTACAGAATGAAACTGCAAAAATCAACCAATCAATGAAATAAACAAACAAGAATGGCCCTCGGGCTACAGGTAAAGCCTGTGTCTGCTGCACAGAGTGTTGGAATTAGTCAAGTCCTCTGATGCTCTATTAATTCATCTGTAAAATTCAGGTAATAAGAGCTAATTGTCTGATGGTCTTAATTTACACACAGCACACTTGGACTAGATCACAGGAATGAGGACTCCACACAGGGCACCTTTGCTCTCATTACTGTTGTCTAATTATTTTTATTGTCGATTGTCTTAATAGGCTTCATTAGTGAAGTAAATGTCACCGTACCCCCACATGCATGGAATACTGGCAGAGATAAAAGTGTAGCAACAACAGAAATGAGTTGCTGGGGAAACCCCATAATCCCAGCACTGGGAAGGTGATGGATGAAATTGGTAGAATGGCGGAAAGCCCAGGCCTGCCAGGGCTACAGAGACCTTGTCTCAAAATCAAACTCAGAGTTAAACAAGACAAATGATTCACCTCTCACCCCCAACCCTTTCCAGTTCATAAATGGTCACCTGAAGGTCAGATGAAGAATCCAGAGGATTCGAATAGGGTTCCTGTTCTATTAAACCCTTGAGACAGAAACATGAACTGTCCCTTGGAATCAGTGGCCCCGGATCATGAATGAGGGGGACCACTAGAGTTGACACCAGCTAGAGAACTCTAGGCGGGACATCTCTCCTCAGGGCAGAATCTGGAGAAAGAAGCAGCCACCTTCCTTCATGTAATAACAGTTATCCAATGGCTGTTCTGTACCCAGTAGTTGAGAAAAACGTCACAGCCGAGCAGTGGAGGCGCACACCTTTAATCCCTGTACTCAGGAGCCAGAGGAGCTGGATCTCTGTGAGTTTGAGACCAGCCTGGTCTACAAAGAGAATTCCAGGATTGAGTGCACTACCACTGGTTGTCAAGAACCAATTTCTGTAAGTTGCTCTCTCACAAGCACTCTCTCTCTCTCTCTCTCTCTCTCTCTCTCTCTCTCTCTCACTCACACACACACACACACACACACACACACACACACACAGGCGTGTTCCTGGAGATACAGCTCAGTGGTAGATGACTTGCAATGCATGTGGGTGTGATTCTGGGTTCAATCCCAACCCCACAAGGGGAAAAGGAATAAGCAGTAAGATACAATAGTTAAAATATGTGAATTGATACAGTGAGTATCAATAAAGTAGAACAGAGAGGTTGAGGAGGCCTGGCTTTGAGTGAGGCATGCAGGAAGAAAAGACACTTCCATTAGGGAACTGTGGAGCACACCTGGAATTCCAGCTACTAGGGAGGCTGAGGCATGGGATCACTTGAGCCCAGGAGGTGGGGCCACAGAGGTAGGCCCTGTGGATTAATTAATTCAGTAGTGTGGCAGGGCTGCCTCTGAGGAGTTGGGTTTGTGAGCAGGGCCTAAGTCTTCCGGCTGGGGGCAGGGCTGCTTACCCAGGTCAAATGAAATAGCTAAGGGAGCTTGTTTGGTGGGTGGGTTCGTGGCACATTCGAGGGTGTTAGGGAAGACACCAGCTGCTATTTTGAGCTATTACTCAGAACCCGGTCCAGAGAGACAAGAGGAAGAACAGAGAGAATGACTAAGTCAGCTGGAGGGTGACCTGTTTCCTGGGTGAAGCAGCCAGGGCAGGAATGAGTGGGAGCCGCTGGGGAGGGGGGGGCATTCCAGGGACAGAGCACTTGGGAGGGGGCAGGGAGCTGACAGGGTGGGCTTCGAGCCAGCTTGGGGCTGGGCAGGGACTGGAGGAGACCTCTGTGGGAAGCAGATGGGGAAGCCTCAGAGGCTCCAAGGATGCTTAAATCTGGGGGTTGGAAGAATCGGATTTGTGTTTCCTTTTGGTGAGATCTATGGAGGGAGGCGGGCATGGTGGGGTGGGGAGTTAATGAGTCTGCCAGGCTGAGCGTGATTAGATGGCCAGATGAGTAGGATGGCCCACAGGAAGAGGGAGGGAGAGGGCATTTCTTCAGCTATTAGATTGTGTGAGGTGTGTGTGTGTGTGTGTGTGTGTGTGTGTGTATAACACACACACACACACACACACAGAGAGAGAGAGAGAGAGAGAGAGAGAGAGAGAATGAATGTAAGTGATTATGTATGTGTGTATGTGGTGTGGAGTGTGTATGAGCTCATTGAGATGAAACTGTGAACCAGACACAGGTGGAATGCTAGGCTAGTTTGGGTAGTAAAACTTTGCACAATGAAGACAGGCAAGCCTGGGCTACAGCTCCCTGGAACAGTGCTTACTCAGCGGTATGAGGCCTGGTATAAATAAATCCCCAGCACGACCTCCAAAAAAACGGTGTGTAGCTGGGGAGGGGAACAAAGCAGACAGGCAATGAGCATGTGATCGGACTTGGTGGGTAATAGGAGAATGCCACCAATCCCACACTTTGTGGCCCAGGCCTCTCAATAGTGAGGGTTCTGTGGGACTGCAGATGGACAGGGGCTCTGGCTGAAGGCCAAGGGCTCACCTTCAGCCCTGTGGCAGAGAGTCAGGCGGCTCCAGATGGAAGCCTCTGTGCTGGGCACACTCTTGTGAAACTTGGGATTTGTGAACAACAGCTACAGGTCTGCCAGGATTGGGGATGGGAATGAGAGTGTGTGTGTGTATACATGTGTGTACATACGTGTGTGTGTGTGTGTGTGTGTGTGTGTGTGTGTGTGTGTGTGTTTCTCCTTAGGACTTGCAGAGGAATCTCTGCAAAGCAGACTTCGTTACGACCCATAAGGTTGTTGAGATCAGGAGGGAGTCTTTGAGAAGAATCAAGGGTGAAGGCAAGAGAACTCTCATATGTGAGGAAGACAGAGAAAGCCATGGGCTGGGGTGTCATATCTCCCTAGTGTGTACAGGCATTGTCTTGGGTATGAGACAGTTTGGGGGTGGAGAAAGTCTAGGGGCTTTGAGTGACGGAGAATGGTGTACCATTGGTGTGGCCCATCACACAGGCCAGGATGGGTTTTATTCTGAGACCCATGAGAAGCCATCTTGGTATAACTGGAACTCGTTCTGAGGAACTGGGGTGTGGCTCAGTTGGTGGAGTGCTGGTCTAGCATTCACCAGGCCCTGGACTCCATCCCCAGCTTCCCAGCAAGGCAGAAACTATCTGGTAGCTCACACCCTTCATCCCAGTACTTGGGAGTAGAAGCAGGAGGATTTAGCATCTCAAGGTCAACCTCAGCAATGTACAAGTTCAAGGCCAGCTTGTGATACATAAGACACTGTCACAAATGTGTGTGTGTGTGTGTGTGTGTGTGTGTGTGTGTGTGTACACATCTATGTGTGTCAGGTATGATAATATACACTTTTAATCCCAGCACTTGGGAAGCAGAGGCAGGAGGATCTATGAATTCAAAGCTAGCCTGGTTTACAGAGGACAGCCAGCCAGAGCTACACAGAGAAACCCTGTCTCAAAAATATAAAACAAAAGAAAAAAACTTTTTATAAGAGGTGCGTTTTCTTTGTGTGTGTGTGAGTATTATGCCTGCGTGCACAACACATGTGTTCCTGGGGTCCAGATTCCCTGGAAGTGGAGTTTCGGGCAGTTGGGACCCACCATGGGGTGATGCAAACCTAACCTGGGTCATCTGAAAGAGCAACCAGTGCCTTTAATCACTGAGCAACCTCCGCAGCCCTCCCCTCTTTAAAACAATAAAAACACGGTTTGGCTGTGTGTATGTGTGCATATATGCATGCCCGAAAGCCCAAGGAGGTCGGAAGGGACTTTGAATCTGCTGGCGCTGGAGTTACAGTGGTTGTGATGCTTGCATGCTTGGATCTGAACTCTGGAAGGACAGTAAAAACTTTTAATGCCCCAGCTATCTCTCCAGCCCTGAGGATCTTATCAGCTGATGATCTGGGAAGAAATGAAGTTCAAACTTCAGAGTGTAGGAAATTGTAGCTTTCTCACTTCCTAACTCACTTAGGGACCAAGTGTTCCACAAGCCAAGTGACATCAGTCATCTGCCCTCTCAAAGGCTGGAAGCTAACCATCTGAGATCAAGGTGTGATCAGGGTTGGTCCCTTCTAGAGGCTTTTAAGGACTGGCTGTTCCAAGCCCGGCTCCCAGCCTCCTGCAGCTGCCAGTTACCATAGGATTCCTGGGGCTTCCAGTGAGTCACTGTGGTCTCTCTCCCAACACGATCTTGGCCTTTTCCCTGTAGGTTTTCGAATCTCCAGGCTGTCTGTCGATGAGGGTACCCATGATTGGATTTAGGACCACCCTAAGAAGCTTATCTGAAAGTGATAAGTGTTTAAAAGATCCTGGTTCTTTTACAACCCCCTCCCTGCTCCCAGGTCCTTCTCCCCTCTTCCCTTCTTCCCTCCCTCCTTTTTCCTCCCTCCCTTCTCAGAATCAGGCAAGCAGCTCTCCCACCCCTGAGCTATATCCCCAGTCCTTTTTGTATTTTTTATTTTGAGACAGGATCCCACTACATTGCCTAAGCCTGAGCACACTCCTTAGTCCAAACTGAGTGTGGCTCCTTATTTTACAACCTGATACCCGTTATTTGGGAAGAGGGAAGCCCAACTGAGGAAATGCCTCCATGCACTGGCCTTCGGGCAAGCCTGTTGGGCATTTTCTTGGTTAATGTGGGAGAGCCCAGCCCATTGTGGGCAGGACCACCCCTGGGCCGGTGGCCTGGGTGCTAGAAGAAAGCAGGTTGAACAAGCCATGAGTGAGCTGTGTTCCTCTATGGCGCCTCAGTCCCTGCTGCTAATTCCTGCTTGAGCTCCCACCTGACTTCTCCCAGTGACACTCGTGACCCGAGAGTTGTAAGAAAATAATAAACCCTTTCTTCCCCATGTGGCTTTTTGGTCATGGTGGAGTTTTTGGCTTGTTTGTTTTTGAGACAGGGTCTCACTGTGTGGCCCTGGCTATCCTGGAACTCACTATGTAGGCCAGCCTGGCCTTGAACTCACAGAGATCTGCTTGCCTCTGCCTCCCAAATGAACACTGGGACTAAAGGTGTGTGCCTTGTGCCACCACACTCAGTTTGGTTTTGGTATTTTTATCACGGCAATAGAAAACTTAACTAAGGGGCTGGAGAGAAGGCAGAGAGGTTAAGAGCACTGGTTGCCCCCCCTAAAGGATCCATAGGGTGGCTCACAACTGTCTGTAACTCCAGTTCTAGCAATACCCTCTTCCGGCCTCAGGGGCGCTAGTATACATATGATACAGCCAGGCATGTAGAGCCAGTGCAGGGCTCTAATCCAGCATTAGGGAGACGGAGGCAGGTGGATCTCTGTGAGTTCAAGGCTATCCTGGTCTACATAGTGGGTTCTAGGACAGCTAGGGCCACACAGTGAGAACCTCTCTCTAAATAAATAAACCTTGAAAGAAATAAAGAGGGCTGAAGAGATTGCTCAAAGGTTAAGAGCACTGGCTGCTCTTTCAGAGGACCCAGGTTCAATTCCCAGCACCCATGTAGCAGCTCACAACTGTCTGTAACTAAGTTCCAGGGGACCTGACACCCTCACATAGACACACATGTAGGCAATACACCAATGCACATAAAATAAAATGGAAGAAAGGAAGAAAGTTGAAAGAAAACCTAATTAAGATCTCCAGGCAGGCTCTGACCTTCCTGCTTCTGCCTCTCCTGAAGCTGGTGTTACAGTCACAGGTCTTTTTCTTTGTTTGGTTTTAGTTTTTTGTCTTGTTTTGTTTTTTGAGACAGGGTTTCTCTGTGTAGCCCTGGCAGTCCTGGAGCTCATTCTGTAGACCAGGCTGGTCTTGAACTCACAGAGATCCATCTGCCTCTGTCTTAAGTAAACCTTCAGCATATCCTCTACGAAGGCACAAATTTGATCTAGAGCAGGGACATTTGGAAGAGACAGCATCAGCATCAGCACCACCATGGCAGCTGTTGGCTCTGTGGGAAGTATTCCCAGGCATTCCAACCGGAGTCTGGTGTTAACACACGGGACTTCTGTTCCTCGAAGGGGCCAGCCAAGGCTTGAAGAGGTGCAGAAGTCAGGGTCTCACTAGGTAGCCCAAGCTGGCCTCAGACTCACAGGGATCCTTCCTGGGCTGCTCTGGGCTGAGATTACAGATTTGAGTTGCCGTGAGGGCCCAGCTTCCTTATTTATATAAGGGTTAGTAATATGCCTGCCCTGCCCCTCAGGTCTGTCATGTGGACCTGATGCAATGCTCCTAACATGTTCGACTTGGTGCCCAGTATACAGGAAGCTCTAGGAAAAAAAAAAAAACAACAACAACAACAACAAAAAAAAAAACCTGCCTCTGACCTAGGGTGTGGCTCAGCAGTAGACTGCTTGTCTAGCATGTGTGAGCCCTTGCCTTTGGACCTTAGCACTGGAAAACAAATTGTCACTATACTTCATACAGCTCAACCCTTAAGAGACAGAGAGTGCTTCCGAGATGGCTCTGTGGGTAAAGGCTTTTGCCACCAACCCTGATGACCTGAGTTTAATCCCGGGACCTATATGATGGATTGAGAACTGTTCCCAAAGGTTTTCCTCTGACCTGGACACTCACCTGATGAGCAGGCATTCCTGTTGGCTCCTCCCCTCAGGGCATGGCTGCTTATAGGTTTCCTTTCTTTGGTTTTGAGACTCTAAGTTCCCAGCAAACCCCACACCATCTTCATAAAAATCATACACCATCACTGTTACCTTCATCTTGTAAATTTGGAGGTTTGTGTTTGGGACAGCATGTAAACTTGCTATTTAGCCAAGGTTGGCCTTGAATTTCAGATACTCCTGCTTCACCTCCCAAGTGTGTATCACATGCTCAGCTTCTCGGGGGATTCTGCAGATCTGCAAATGCAATCACAGAAGGCAAATCCCTGGCCCTGTCCTGTTAGAGAGTCCCTGCTGTTCTCTACTGTTCTCTACAGGGCATGGGGCACACAGATATCTGTGCTTAGCTTAAGACCATTTTACTGTATTTTTAAATTTAAATTTTTTTCTTTTTTTATTCGGAGACAGGGTTTCTCTGTGGCTTTGGAGGCTGTCCTGGAACTAGCTCTTGCAGACCAGGCTGGTCTCGAACTCACAGAGATCCTCCTGCCTCTGCCTCCCGAGTGCTGGGATTAAAGATGTGAGCCACCACCCCCCGACTTTTAATTTATTTTTTGAGAAAGGATCTCAAGGATCTCTGACTGGCCTTGAACTCACAGAGACACGGTTGCCTCTGCTTTCTGAACGCTCCACCATTTCCTGGCCTGGATTGTTCCTTTAAAGGTAGAAAGAATAATCAAGTGTTTTTCTCTGCTCTGAAACAACCCACAGGTATAAGATGAGCTGAGACTCAGGTTGCAAAGCTCATTGCCTTCCAGAACCTTCCAGAAGCCTCTGTCTCACAGCCCACACCTGAGCAGCAAGGAGGGGTCAGCCATGGGAAAGAGACTAGTGACAAGAGGGAAGGGGACAGGAGAGTTTGCAGAACTCTTTTTTCCCTCAGACATTTAAGAAGTAAACTCTTTTTTTTTTTTTTTTTTTTTTTGAAAAAAAAAAAAAAAAACTCAAGGAATGCCAAGCTTATGTAAAACTAAACCAGCAGTGACAGAGGTTTGGGGACAACAACAAAGCCAGCCAGAGGCAGTTCCCAGGAGGGTACCTCAGAGGAGGCCTAGGAGCACACAGGTACACCCAAGTGGGCAGGGCCTTGCCTGTGCCAGCCACCCTTGGGGCCTGGATTCCCCTGACAACTCTCTGCAAGCAACTGGCCAGGAGACAGGCTTTGTGGGTTGGTTTGTTTGCTATCTTGTTTTTTGTTTTGTTTGAGACAGAGTTTCACACTCTAGACCAAGCTAGCCCAGAACTTACTGTTAACCCAGGCTGGCCTCAAACTCACAGTCTTCCAGCCTCAGCCTCCTGCGTGCTGGAATTGTAGGCATGTACCATCACTGGCCTTTTGTTTTGTTTTGATCTTAGATCAGATTCCCCCTTGTAATTCCAGACCTGTTTGTGTCTGGAGAGCGCCACAGGTATGACTGGCAGGGTTATTGACTAAGGCATTTTCCTCTTAAGTTCAAACATTTCAGGTAGAAGGTGTGTCCCCGCCCAAGCCAAGGGCTTCAAGGCAGAACTGAAAACTGCCCTAGGTCTGAATTCCAGCTTCAGCTTCATTTCACCCAGAGCCATCACCTAGCAATCTGATGAGGGTGTTCAAAAGCACCCACCAAGAGCATGGCTAGATGCAGGACAACATGTGTGAAGGGCTGCCAGGGCCTTGGGAGGCCAAGCGGGAAGTTTGTCCCACATGGCGGGCATCCCCATCTGCTTCTTAAGCCCTCAGCAGCTTCTGATTCATTTTGTTAGTGTTTGGCCTTTGTCCACCAGTTTCCTCAGTTGCTCAGTTCCACAATGTGGAGGAAAAAAATCTTCCCTGGTGTCACCTTCAAAATCAAGAGCATGCTGGGGGCAGTAACATACATAAGTTTGCTTTGATTTGGTTTTGTTGGTTTTTCAAAACAGGATTTCTCTGTGTACCCCTTGGCTGTCCTGGCTCTCACTCTGTAGACCAGGCTGGCCTCAAACTCACAGAGATCCAGCTGCCTCTGCCTCCTGAGTGCTGGGACTAAAGGCATGTGCCACCACTGCCTGGCTTTTTTTGTTGTTTG